GGCAGCGCCGCGCCCGCCCCCGCGCCCGCCCCCGCGCCCGCCCCGGCCCCAGCGCCCGTTTCTGCCCCGGCGCCCGCCGCCAACAGTCAGCCAGGGCCCGCCGCCGCGCCCGCGCAGGTGGCCAAGGCCGACTCGCCCAAGACTGCGCTGCAGCCGGCGCCCCCGCCGCCGCAGACCCTGGCGGCCAGCTGCCCGGCCGGCGCGGGGGCCGGCATGATCCTCGGGCCAACTATGCAAGGGGCTCTGCCCGCCGCCGCCGCCGCCGGCCTCCCACCGCCGGCCCCCGGTACCCCCACCGGGCTGCCCAAGGGCTCGACCAGCGCGGTGACCCAGAGCCTGCCCAGGACGCCCTCGGCCACCACCGGCGGGATCCGGGCCACGCTGACGCCCACGGTCCTCGCCCCACGCCTGCCGCAGCCGCCGCAGAACCCGACCAACATCCAGAACTTCCAGCTGCCCCCAGGTGAGTGGCCGCGCCGCCGGGCGAGTGCGTTCGTGCCCTGCAGCTGGGCGTCCAGGAAGTTGTCGGGCTGGCAGGACGCGGAGGTCATGGGCCCTGCGTGGGCCTGCTGCGAGCGGGGGTGCGCCTCTGCCCCGGCGCGGGACGGTCCTGGGCATGCGAGTGTGTGTGCGGGTGTGTGTGTGTGATGTGGCAGTGGGGGCCTCCTACCTGGTGCAGTGTTTGGCTCCAGGTTAGTTCTTTGCGTTGCAGAGCTTCTCTGCTAGGACTGCCAGTCCAGCGAGTGGGTCCTTTGCTCCCTTCCTGGCTCTGTGTGCCCCTGCCCAGTCCCCGCACGATGGAGAACAGTAGCAGCTGGTGCTCCGGGGACAACTTACTGGGTTATTCAGCCTGGGCCCGTGGCTTTCCCATGCTTGGCACTTCCCTCTCTGATTTCTGGGATCAGGCATGTGGTCTGTGTCCTCATTGAACTCTCCTGCTCGTTTATTATGCTGGGCTGTGATTGGTGTCCCCTGCCGGTGGGCTAGGGACCCCCCCTTTCCTGGTGAGGTTAGCGGAGTGACGCCGCCTCCACGAGGCTGGGCAGGGCTGCACGGAAAGCTTTCGCTGCCTTGCTGACACTAGGATGGCAGAGTTCCCAGGTGAGCCTGGAGGAGTCGCGGGGCACACAGCCTTCCTGGTCGGAGCCCTTGCCTCATGCCTGCTCTGCAGCCTTGTTTCAGCACTCCTCGTAGGCACGGTGTCCTCACTTAGAGGATGCCGGTTACCTTAATTATTACCAGTGAAGTCAGCGGTGGGCACGTGCTCTCCCATCAGCGGGTCCCTCGGAGGTACAGACGGTGCAGGAGGACCGCGAGCCTCCTTGACCCCACGCTCCATCTCCCGTCATCTCGGCAGCTCTTTAGGTTCGCCAGCGAAAGGTCCCCCACGGCATTACGTGTCCCGCTGCTTTGTTTCGGTCTTCCTGGGCAGCGAGAAACTCCAGCACTGGAGGCTCTCTGTCTTCCCTTCCATGCCCTCCGCCTCGCCTGCGCGGACTCGGAGCGCTCCTCCCCTGCTGTGTAGTAACGTGTGCCGCCGCACAGGAGTAGTAGAAACAGCACGTCCTGTGCCTGTGTCCCCCATGCTTTCGGAAAAGAACGGTTGGTCACCTTGAGAGGATTTCAGCGTCTTGGAAGGAAGGATTTGCTGTCAAAGTGCTGTGAGGTTTGGAGCCGTGGTGAAGTCTGGCAAGGACCTGATGTCACACGGGTGGGAGGAGGGGAGGTTCCAGCCAAGAGCAGCGTTTTGGGGTGGTTGTGGGAGCCCCCCTGCTGTGGGGGGGGGTGTAAGTTACTTGAGATGTGCGGGCTGCCCCTTACAGCACAGTTTGTTTGTTTTTGAGTTTGTAGGAGGGTTTCATTAAAGGTTGTGTTTTGCTCATTATGTGTCTTTTGACCTTTTAGTGGAAGATATGTTTGATCTTCAGTAACGTTTAAAAAAGAGAATTCGGGGTTGTAGCACATTATGGAAAATGTCAAAATACTTTTTACCTACTTATTAAAATACCTCCTCATTGGTCCTCGGCACCTTCCTCGCTCCTAGCAAGGCCGGTTCCATGCGCTGCACTTTTGTTATTGAAAACTGGTGTGAGCTCGTCAGTAAATTTTGCGAGACTGGCGCGCTGTGCCTGGCTCCCAGGGCGGGGTGGAGGCCGTCGTCGTGTCCCCCATCCCCCCCCTCCGGCCTGCCCGGATGGTGCCTGTAGGTGTGGCTGTTTGGGGTTGACTGGATCCCCTTGGTCTGGGCCTCTGCGTAGGTGAAGCCTTCGCTACCTTATTTCTTCTGGGGGGAGGAAGCTGTGGTTTGGAAAGGGCACCTGTGTCATCTTCATTGTGATTGACCCTGGACTCCCTCTCACCTCCTGTGCTAGCGGTGTGTTAGGGATGTCTGCATGTGACAAGTAGGCGACTCCTTGAAGAAAATCGTAGAAGCGCTGACTCTTTGCATGAGTTCTCACGAGTCTTTGCATTAGTCCCACGTGTGAGAGCAGAGAACAGCTCATGTTGACATTTGGGTGACAAATGCTGAGAGCTGTGCTTTAAAGGGGCCAAATGCTTTCTAGAAAATAAAAGATTCGCATTCATCTCTTCATGCTCCCCTCCCCCCACAGTTGATCTACTGATTTGGAGCGCTGATTAATTCCGCTCCTTCACCTTAATAACAGAAGAAGCACAAAAAGTATAGTTAAAATTACTACCAGTGCCCCACAGCAGAGTGCCTTCTTTTAAATAGCACAAATTAGTTCTTTAAATCAAAGTGACAGATTACGAATATTCTAGTTGCCTCGTATAATGGGTCAATCAGAAAATATTAAGTTCTGTTTGATGCTTCCTTTTCTCTGAAATTTTTCATCATAAAAATGTACAAAGTGGAGGTGGAACTAACTTGTAAAAATAACTGTTGCTTGGATGATAACTCATTCTTGTTAGTACTCAGGCATTAGGGGTGGGCAGGGTTTTCAAAGCTACACTTAGGTGTCAAGTGAAGTAACAGACTGTTGGCAGTTGGAGAGTGGGTGAGAGAGGCCTGCCCCTCCCGGTGCCTTCCCTCCCTGTAGGTCAGAGTCCGAGGGGGGAAACAGAGGGACAGAGGTTTCACCGAGTCCCTGAGGGCCAGTCAGGCCTTGCATGTTTCATCCTCACAGCCACCGTGAGCACGTGTTGAACTTGGTTTCAGTAAACTCAGTCTCGATATTCCTTGTCAGGACAGTTTTGTAAAGAGACGTTGATGTTATTGTAATTAATTTACTCACTTAAGGGTACCAGAGTTTCAATTTTATCTGCTGTGGGGAATATTAAGAACACATGAGCCTTCAGAGAGATTGTTGCAGCAAAGGCAGTGGACCCAAGAACAGTGAAAAGCACTAGTTAGTTCTGTACACCTTAGAATAGTCATAACATCGAAGTAACATTATTATTATAGTTGAAAGGAGAGAAAAGTGATACGACACCAAAATTGGCGTGTGCGCAGATGGTTTCAAGAGATCTTTTGAGATAGGTGTTACGCTAGAGATGCTTATTTCTAAAGCTTATCTTTTCTTGCATTTTCAGCAGTGTATGTCTGTCTGTTCTGCTTTCACAGAGAATTTGTTCTCCTGTGGGTCTAAGGTTTGGCTGAAGTGTCGGTTCTCATTCGGGATAGAACACCTTGCCTCCATACCTGGGCTTCGGGAATGTTTGCATGGGGCTGGTGGCTTAAGATGAACACTCTTGAGGCTGCTGAGGTCTAGGGCAGGGGTTCCCGTCCTTGGTGAATAGAATTATTGGATGGTGGGGAAAGGGGAAAAAGAGTCCAGGGTAGCAGACTGTGCTGTGTGGGCCGGGTTGAGTTCTGGGAAGGCTGGTCCTGAGCCGTGTGGCAGCCCCAGAGTTTTGGGCTCTGGACGTCTGGTGGCCGACTTTGGCAGAAGTGCTTTGGCACGAGGGATGTTCTTAGAAGTTTAGATTTTGTTACTTGAGGGCACTCTTGACCTGGGACAGAATATGTGGTTCTTTGGAGTCTCAGTTTCCCCAGGTGGAAAGTGAGCTTGACCATTTTGTGAAGCACTGTGAAATTGGCGTTGGGAGGAGCGGTACGCACCACTGTCAGGTAGCGTTTAGTCACACGCTGTCTCAGCTCCATTATGTTTCTCACTGGTTTCCAAGCAGTATGTTGCTGTAGATGTAGCAAAGTCTAAAACACAGTTTTCTTCCCGTCAGCACCATGCCCAGATTGGACAGGTTCTCAGTGACCAGGGAGCCTGGTGTGGTGGCCAGCTCTGGTTCTGTGAGAAAGTTGCTGAGGTTGTCATCACAGGTGGGCCATAGACCTGGGGCACATGTCCTGGAAGCCATGGGGGGACAAGGGGGTGCAGCTGTCTGCAGAGAGAGTGGACGTGGGCAGGGGGCTCACTTTAGGCCAAAGGCCTTCACTGAGTTTTTCTCTTGACATCCTTAGATAACAGTGACATTTGAAAAAAACAAAAACCAAAAAACTTTTGGGGAGCTGTACCCGGCCAGCACTGGGCATCTCTGCTTAGCGTAGCAGAGGTGGTGTCTCTGAGTTTGCTTCCACACCGCCGGCTTGGAGGCGAGGCCCGTGGCGGGCAAGCAGGCGGTCACTCTTCCTTTTTCTCTGTCCCACCTTGGAACCTGGCTGTCCCCATTGTCTTTAGGGTGGACGTAGCCGTCTTGGTGACGTGGATTGATCAGGATGATGTTGCACACGTAGGTGGGTGTCTTTCGGAGCTGGTGGTTCTCACGTTTTAGCAACAGCCAGGAAAGGGGTTCCTCAGGCCCCTCCGGGGTGTCTCTTCTCACTGCGCTCCAGGGCAGTGGGTCCCGCCCTTGTGGCGGAATCACCAGAGTTAGAAGAGACAACTTTCTGAGTACCACTGCATGAGGGGTGCGTCCTTATTTGCGAGGGCTCTGGAAGGAAGCAGTTGGGAAAGTGGTCTCCTGGCTAGGGGGCGGCTGTCTCGCCCCCCCCAGCCTGTGGGGTGGAGCCTGGGCTCTGGCCGCTGCCCCCCCCCCCCCCGCCCCCCGCAGTGGTGTTTGATCGGAACTGGAGCGGCTCGGTTCAGACCCCGCCCTGGGGGGAAGCGGCTCAGTGGAAAGAGCAGCGGCGCACCTGTCTGTTTCCTTGAAGTCGTAATGAGATGCCGGTGGTTCCTGACATGCTTCCCGAGCCCGTTTCAGTGTAAATGTAAGCTTTCCTCATCTTAAATGATACCTTTTAAGAAAGCTTTTTCATAAATCACTAGTCGTATGTGAGTTGATCAAAACATAATTAAAACCGTTTTTGAAAATCTTGAAGCAGAGATTTTGAAGGACTCTGGAGAAACTTGCCTGAGATTTGGGGTAATTTGCATAGGTCTCAGAAGCACTTTTCCTTGTCTTCGTGTTGATAGCAAGCAGGAGACTCAGATTTTCTTGATTGTCCTGATTGATTCAGTCACCGTTCAGAGCTCTCACCTCTGAAAT